ACCAAGCCTCCTCGTTTTCACTCCCAGCACTGGACAGTCTTGCGTCAGTTGTTCTCAATAGGTCACATGATAGGGTGAGGCAGGGTCTCTTTGACTGTTATAAGTAATTATCTAGCAGTCTCCAACATTTGAAACATGGAGAGTTTGAAGACAAAATACATTTCTTATCCACTTATTTAGATAAGAAAAAGACATCCAGCACTTAACATCACAAAATACAGAGTAAACCTTCAGCACAAATTATATTAATTATCACACAAAAACATTTTAAATTAAGTAAACATATTTTATTGAACACAAGTTTACATGTTTTGATGCCAGCTTGCCTGCAGCCATTTAAACAAATTACCTGTGACAAACTTTTTCATTTCAACATGTCTACAATGTAAATAATAAATCATTCAAGAGCACACACAACATGCAAATACTGTATGAGCACAATGACAGCTAAAATAACTTTGTATGTGGAGGTTTCTAGTCATCTGCAGAAATGTCTCAACTGTCATGTAAAGTAGTTCCTTATTGGAGTGCTGCAACATCTATTTACATGCATTTAAGAAAAATCTAAACAAAAAAGTCAACTGAAAACAGCCGTGTGAGATTAAAGCTGAACATAAAAAGCTGCAGGATTTTGTTTAAGTAACTACTTAAGAACAATACTAAACTGGAAAAATGACATTTGTATGTGCAGGTTCTGTGTGTATGTTTCTTTAATACACTGTGTTAATGTAATGTTACTTTTTTCTTCACCTGAGCGTAGAGTTCCTCTTGGCCGTGAGCGCACTCTGTGTTTTCGTGCTTTTTGACTTTCACCTGTGTGTACACCGTATCCTGCTGCTGTCCTCTGTACTGCACTGAGTCAGTTGATGCTTCATATCTCAGCACAGAGAAGTTGATCTCTCCATAATGGATGTTTTCTTCTTCTCCTTCCGATTTACTTGCTGGCTCTTCACTCACTTTTCTGAGGTTCCTGCTTGAAAATCAAATAGCCAAAATGAATAGAGTATCTTTCTGCTATTACAAACTCTGTGTAAACAATCTTGGGATCAAAATATAGCTAAACCTTGTAAACCTTGTTCATGAGCTGTTTAAGTATCAGAGTCAGAGACACTTTATTTATCCCCAAGGGGCAGTTAAGATAGATGATACCTTGCCGACTGTATATACAATACACAAACATCACACTGGCAAGACAGGTCAGGCTAGGTAGCACTGGCCACATGAGCAGTGACCCGGAACCAAAACAATGGAAAATGCACAACATGAGGAAAGACGAGGAGAAAAAAAGAACTCCGCCCAGACTGAGCTCCAACAGGGAGATCAGTTTGAGAACAGAAATTGAAGCCTACCTCAGCACATAGCACATGAATCATCACATCTCACAACATAAAAGACATAAGCTTCGAAGGAATTTGGAGGGGGTGGGGGGGTGAGTGTAAGTCTGTGTCAGAGTACATGCATATGTGTGCGTGTGTGTCTGTTCCGTGTTCAGCCGAGAGAAAGTGTCCCTTCACTCGGTTGGGAAAAAGTCAGCAATCTTCGGTCGACGCAGGTAGCCTTGAAGGAGGAGGGAGAGAGTCACAACATAGTCTTGTTTTCTAAGGAAGAATTTTGTTATTCCCGTCAGCTTTTGCCTTGAGCATTCAGCTGGCGCCAGGGGAGCCGCATGAGATGGAGATGGTAGTTGTTTTGGTTAGTGCAAAGAAACTGCTTCCAATTTTACAGTTGGTCTAATGTCTGTCACTGGTCACCAGGTCTCTCAAATGCTGTTGTTCTTCTCCAAGATCTTATCCATATTGCAAAGCTGTGCACTTCTTGAAGATCTTCCCATATGGTGTTCAATAAACAGTCTGAGTACTCACAGCTTGCACATCGTCAATCATGTCGGCCAGCCTAATGCGGGTTTTGAATAGCTGTAACCGCTTT